TATTTAACTTTGGTGGCTCCTTCATGGCCTGGAACAGACAGGCTCCTGGAAAAGGACTGGAATGGGTTGCTTTTATATACACTGACAGCAGCAGCAAATACTACTCTCAGTCAGTCCAAGGCTGGTTCACCATCTCCAGAGACAACAACAGAAACCAGCTGTATCTGCAGATGAACAGTCTGAAGACTGAAGATTCTGCTGTTTATTATTGTGCCAGAGCCACAGTGACTGGAGCTGGTTGAGCAGCTGTACAAAAACCTCCTCCTCATTCTTGGTAGATTGACAGGGCTCAATAATGAAATTTCTATTTCTTTTATGTTTTTTCTTTTGTTTTTAAATGACACTCTGGATTACAAAAATTCATAAAACCTTTCCTTGAGGAAAGATGATGAATAAACACTCAACACAACAATAATATAGCTGTTAAGATGATGATGATCTAGTTGCTAAAAGTATTGTCTTTGGACTAAATGAATAAAGGTGAACTCTTCATTTGCACTACAACACATCCACTTTTCTTACTCATCTTAACTGACTGACAGTGAACCCTTAACTGAACTACAGCTTAATGCTCCTACTTGTCTTGTAAACTGGATGCATTGGTGATGTTTCTTCCTTAAAATCATTTATCATCAGCAACTAAAATAAGGAAACCACACATAATAGTTTAATTTAAATCCTTTACAGACACCTGTGAAGTCTAAAGTCATACAGGAAGACAATAAAGCTACCTACAGTGTATAAGAACATAAAGACAATTTAATTACATCTCTCCATGAATAGAATAAAATATTTACCTGTCTTTGTTATAATTTTTTTAGTTCATTTAAGAATTAAAGTTTACAGAACCAGGGAGCAGTTGTTTGTTACTCTACTGTAAATGTAGGGACATTTTCAAAATGACACAGTTTAATGTTTAATGAAATGAAAACATCATACGCAAGGCAGATGTGATTTCCAAACATGTTTTTACTCTGCAGGAAACTATAATGACACTGACCAGACACTTCATTTGGCTTCAGATAAACCAACATTAATGCTTTAAATATTCAATTCTATGCAAACTCTGGTCATTCAGCTATAAAACCTTCCCATCAGACTGTCAGAGGAGTTCACAGCACATCTTTGTCAGCATTAACCATGTTCTCTGTAGCTCTGCTGCTGCTGTTGGCAGCTGGATCATGTGAGTCTCTCTG